ACTGGAGAAGAAGAGATGGGTTGCGGAGGATCTGGATTATAGCTACCAGCGTAGGCTGCAGGAGCAAGAGAAATATTACGAGAAAATTGTTCTGCAGAAAGACGAAGTGATCCAAGAGTTGTTGTAATAAATTAGGGAACAGAAGGAAGAACTAGGAGAAGCTCGTTCAGAGAACCAGAAACTTCGTCGCAGTCTCTCTAAGCAGTCCCTCGAGAAATCACAATTAAAAAAATCCAGCCGGACAAGAAGCCGTCTTCTATTTGCAGAAGATGAGTTGAGCTCAAATGAAGATTCCTACTAATTTGCAATGGATTATAGTTCGGGCTTGCAAAAAGATAGGTTTTTACACTTCAAGTAGGATCACGACCGTTTATTACGTGATCGAGATTTACTGAAATAAATGTTGGACTAGTTAAAGTAAAGACACGCTTCCGATTAGCGTCAGGCATAGGAAGAAATCGATGCTCTGAAGAAGAAGATTGAAGAAAGAAATTAGATTATCAGTGATTTAGAAACTGATCTTCGAGCTGCCAATAGTGAGTTGCAGAGGTTGCGTTAGAATTAGAAAATAATGCAAAATGATTCAACGCAAGCGGCTCAAGCTCAAAAAATAGTGGAACTCGAGAACGCTTTGCACCATCAAGAGTAAAAAATCAACGAGTTGGTTGAGAATAGGCAAATGACGACCGTGGCAAGTTCAAATCCGGAATTCGGGCATAATGTTAAAAATAATTTGAAGGAAGAGAATGATTTCTTAAAAGGATTATTGCAACAGTACAGTTGGTGCGTTTCAGACTGTATGCTCACCTTAAGTGAAGCAAGATAATTGTTTCAGCTGAATCAATCAGTTGAAAATTTGTCTTATGTTAACCAGAACGACATCAAACTCGGGAGAAGAAATTTCATACCAAACAACCGAGCAAATGAATCATCGCATCAAAAAGGTCAACCCAGAAGCAAAACCAAACCTCTTTACAGCGATGGAGAAGCCCTGTTGCGCAACCTGAAAGATTTTATCAGTCAAATGAAACTGATAGAATAACTGGCGAGTGAAGCTGCAGCAGAATCTGTCGAGCAATTAATTAGATCTAAGGAACTTAAGATGGAAAACATGAGAGCCGATTTGAAAGATGAAAGAGAGAGAACATTGAAACAAACGGGATAAATGGAAAACTTGCTCAGAGCATTGGAATAGAAAGACCACGAACTAGAAGAGTAAAAATTTTAAAATGGTGTTCTGACAGAAAATTTAAGATCGTCAAAAGAGCTATTCGATAAGAAATTAACTGATATGAATAATCAGAAAGAAGATGAAGTTTTGAAATTGAAGTAAATTATCAAAGACCTAGAAGATCAAACGTTTTCCATGGAACGATAGGAAAAACGTGCAGGTATCGCACTCTAAGACGCATAGAGTGAAGGATAGAAACTCTAAGAACGGTTAAATGAGCTTTGTGGTGGTGGGTGTAGTAGTGGTGGTGGGTGTAGTAGTGGAGGTGGGTGTAGTAGTGGTGGTGGTGGTGGGTGTAGTGGTTGACGGACATGTCATGCATGCAATAAGTCCTTCGGAAGGGGAAAAAGTCTGGTTATATTCGGGACGTAGGCAATCACTGCACACCGTCGTCGAGGGATCATAGTCACATACCAGGCACGAAAAATTGGCGGAATAGTCAACGAATTCTAGACAGGTGAAGCATGTTGTTGTGTTGTCTTCATATGTTATCCTGCCGAAGATAAGCAGAACGCATAGACATCGAAAGTTCTTTGATGGATTTAAAATACAAATGTGGGAGTAAAACATTAGGGGCGGCGTCTACCCTAAAGTTTTCCGATTTGGATTTTCCGGTTTTTAGTCTCATCTTAAAGCTGGCATTCTGCCCTATCCAACGGTACCATTACCATCTCTGTACGTTGATTTATGCGTTCACGACAGATCATGAAAGGGAGGGGGATGGGGTAGTTCTTTAACAAATAGAATGGGAGGAAATTTGCTGTGAGCACTTTAAATAGTGTCTGCTTGAGGTGCGCCTTAGTTACCCGCCTGGCGTCCTATGAGGAGGTGTGCATGCAGTCGCTCCCACCATCCTTGACTGGAATCAAGCTCCAGTAATTCAGCTACAAATCTTATAACTGATATTTGACACACTTTTACCTGTCTAATTGATCTGAAATTTTGCACACTTGTGTGAAGTCAGAGGCAATGCATGAACCAATTAATAGAATAAATTATTTTGAAAAAAATTTATATATCAAAAAAATTTTATATATTAAAAAAATTGAAAAATAAATTTTTTTAATGTTCGAAAATTAAATGAGAAATTCATGGTACATCTTTAAGATTGGAGACACTGGATTTTTTGGAAGTGTTGTCTTTAAAAAGTAATTTTTAAACGTATATTATTTTATTTGTACTACTGTCATTTCAAAATTTCAATTTTGAATTCAATTTTCAATGTCATTTGGTAGCCTACTTTTTAATTTCCCCGCGCCAGCTAGAAATTTTGTCCGACTCGTTGAAAAAACGAATAAGAAGATTATTAATATGAAGCATGCTCTGGTCTTCAATCATACTTGCATTAAAGAAAAGCTTCTGTCGAACTATACCAATATAATATAATTATACAAATTTACCATTTGAGAAATTTACATTTGAATATGGAGCTATTTATGGCTCACTAATAAGAAATTATCATTCATTAACTTCAAATGGAAAATAATGAATGAACGAATAGTTCATTCATAAAAATCCCATAGAGCCTCAAGCTAAGGCGAAAGGCTGGTTAAAAGGACGATTTAGCAAGGCATGAACCACGCGAGGGGTTTCACAAACCACTCGCCGCACAAATCCTGTGTTTCACAAGTCCTGTGACATAGGTCACACAGCGGAGATGGTGGTTATCAGCCCTCAATATCGTTACCCCAACAACCACATTTCTGTCGCTGAGGAAACTGGCGGTTTTCATGTAGCCGATGAAGTACCAGAGGTTAGCCGGAGCACATTGGCTCTGGTCGACCACTGCATGGTTGAACTATATAAGGTTGACACACGAGAAGTTCCGTCTTTCAGTTCAGCTTTCTTATTACGTCACGTAGATCGAGAAACGTAAACAAGCCCGTCATTCCATGATGGATTGGTTGACTGGTTTGATCGCATTTCGGTGATTGGTTAATTCCCGTGACGTCACTGAAGTCAATGATGTCACAGGCGAACTACATCCGCAAAAACGGGCTTCTGATGGGCCAACCTTATACTAGTTCAACCATGTACCACTACCTATCTCTTCTTACCTGTTCCCTCCACCCTATTAGGCCTATTTCACACCATACTGTAGGGCACGTTCCAGGCATAGGCCAGTCAACGTCCTGTCCAATGTTCTTTAATGCATTTCCATAGAAGCATTCACACCATGTGCATGGCAGGTGCCTTTCACGGCTGCTTAGTATGCTTCTATTGAAATACATGAAATAATATTGAACTAGTCCGTGACTGGCTTTTGCCTGGCACGATTTCGGCAGAATGGATTGAACCCGGCCTACATCAGTCTTCAGCCGACAGCTGAGGGACTCCGACAGGTTGTCTCTGCACATTCCTTGATACAGGGCAGGTACTTCTTTACCCCACCTCCAGCCCACGCTTCTCATACGAAGCATTTATAGAGACTTGAGGTTGGCAGTAATATAAGAAAACTCCGACGATTGCCATCATCGGTGCAGGGATTTGGCAATTTCGTTGTTCAGAGAAAAAGTTTTCATTGGATAGAGAAACGGTTTAGAGGTTGCTAGTTATGAATGTACTTATTCACGATCCAAAATTTTCCGGTTGTTTAGTTTCAGAAAAATATCCGCCTCACATGCGTAATCTTGCTAAAAATACAGAATACAAAGGTGTAATCAGTAAAAAATGAGGGGAACTATCAAATTACCCAACATTTCTAACTGTAGCCAATATTTGGTTCAACAACATTCAGTTCTACAATGAAAAAATATTCTGACAACTTTTTTACCTTCAAATGTTTTGACAACAAGGAAACTCCGATTGTGTAAATATAAAGAAATACAACAATATAATAAATAACAACTTAGAAATACCAGATTCGTATAATAATTTTAGCTGATAACGCTCAAAATAAACAGAACCATTACGAATATTATTATTGCTTAACATAACGCCACGGCTATAAACTAAAAAAACAGCGTTGGAACACATCCATGCGACAACATTTCTTCTCGCTTCGAGTCACCGACATGTGGAACAGCCTCCCTGATAGCATCGTTGACGCTCCGAGTATGAACGCCTTCAAGAACAGACTAGACGAAGCTATGCAGGAGCATATGTTCAGTCTTAAAATGCCTAGCAAATTACGGACCAGGCAATAAGTCCAGCAGCTGTCTCAATCAATCGTCAGCTATGGAAAGATCGGGTTCCAAAGGCCGGATCCCTTGTGAATCAAGTCACGAAAAGTTCAAGAATCGGCAACAGGCCATGGGCCTATTTCTTCAACGCCGACACTTCTATTCTATTCTAACCCACACCTGTAAAATAATGAAGCTGGGAAGGGGGAGTGAAACACGCGTCCAAATTGAGCTAAATTGTGTAATGTGTGGATGTCATTAGATGTCGTTATGACACCAGAATTGCACCAAAATTTGGCATAAATAGTTATATTTGAGGCGAAAAATTATATAAAGCATTTGAATGAATCCGTTTTTAGGTAAATTGCTCCCCGACAATCAAAGAAACACATTGTAAACAAACGCATATTAAATACTCGTGCGTGACAAAACCTTGCAGGAATGAAACACGCAAGCCTCTATGACCTTGTGAATAATAGCGCCTCTTCCCATGACGGACGGCACGAATCACGGAAGGACGAGAAGTTGCAAGCAGGGAAACGGCGCGTGCGTTCATTTAGAAAATGATCGTCGTCAAAATAATGAGGCTCGTCAAAATACGCGTTTTCTCCTGGAAAAATAGTTTCGCGATGGCCCACATTAGGGCAAGTGCATCGCTATTTGGAAAAAATCTCTTCGTTTTTATCGAGTGTACAGCTGAGTGCGGATAACTTCCTAGCCATGCTAGGAGTGCGTATAAGATCTAGCCATGTTAGGAGATTATCTCATAAACAAGAAAATCAGGTGATAGAAACTGACGAGGCAAAAGCAATGCAAAAGGAGGACAAAAATAACGAAAAAATACGATGCAGCAGATCAGAGGACCATGAGGGCCCGTATCATGTCGGGCGTTTTCGGCATGAGTTTGTGCGGCGCGGTGTAGCCGGCAGCTGGCACCGTATGCACGAGTGTGTGCAGTGCAGTGTAGTGGTGCAGCACTGCAGTGCAGCACCTGTGCAGACACTGCTGTCGGTGCTGTGCAGACACCACGTGCCGCATGCTGGGCAGCTGGTAGGCGTCGGGGCACGACAGGAACTCGTCCAGCTTCGCCTGGATACGAGAGAAATTTCTGAGTCTTATTTCGTGACTGACGCAATCATGTTGACAACACTGAGGGGCATGAGGCTTGGCTTGGTCGTGTTACACATACTGAAAAACAGTCATTATGAAATTATTATTCGTAAATGATTTGAAGTTCTTTAAATAAGATCAGCCTATAAAGTAAACAAATAATGCAATCGCGGTAAGGATCTGAAATGTCAGCAAGTGTGAACCTTCCAATTTACCGTTCAACATCCACCCGTGCAAAGAAGCCTTCAAGAGATATTTCAGTTGACGTAACAAACTTAAGAGAACGAATAATTCATCAATGTAAGCTTGAGGATTACGACCATTTGATGGCCCACCAAGAAATGCTGCACCGCAGACGAGGAGGTGTAGGGGCGGCAGGCGAGAGGCGTGTCCCCCACAACCCCCCCAGCAGCAGTGGCCGCGCTGAGGTCCCCCAGCATCGGCAGCAAAGCCAGGCTCATGAGCACAGCAGCAGTCTGCTGCTCGCACAGCACTGACACCGCAGACTCCGTCACACCCTGCAACACCACAGCATCAGCCATACCGTCATGCCGCCAGGCACTACATACTTCTTAACCAGGTAATTTTTTCTGATAAACCAAGTGATTTCTTCCGCATTTAATTCATTGTTTTCTTCAGAGCAGGCAGGCACTTATTTTTCACTCTTGCACCGCCACGTGCACAGTCAGGAAACGTTGACAGTCAGCACGCAGAGCCACTAGTGAGGCAACCCATCAAAGCGCTGATATAGGGTGGCCGCAAGGAGCGGGTTCTTGATACCTTTTCTAGACAAATTGTCCCACCGACAAGTTAAAGCAACGTTATGCAAAATGCGGAACCTAGTTTGATTACGTCGACGTAGTCATAATGTTCGTTATCTGAGAACAAGAACAGATCTCTGTTGAAGACAATCTTTACCGGGGTAACTAGTCGGTAATTTTTATTGAGATTCTTCCCGCGTATTTTCAGCGAGCCCTAGGTAATTAGGATGGAAAAGAGTGAATATAATTATTTACAGCCAAAACTTTCTGCTACGCATATGTGAATATACGAGCGCCTAACACGAGATACCTGGGAGGAGGATAAAGATGGTGAGTAGATATGAAGTTAGGAGGGAAATTATGCTCGGAAGATGAGAGTTTAAGAGAAGTTGTCAGGAAGCACCTGAATCTGTTGGAGTTTCTGTGGGGTATTCGAGGTCTGAAGGAGGGACACGGTGGAGTGCAGGAGATGGCAGCAGTTGAGGAGGTAAACGTTGGCCTCCACGACCCCCGCCTCCACAGCGGCGCCGCCACCACCGCTCACAGCGGCGTTCAGGGCCGTCAGTAGCGGGTCTACCACGAGGTCCACCACCTGTCGGGGAACAGAACTCAGCACCAACACTAGTAGGCTTATTGGTAGTAATCTATAAACCTATGGGCACTAGTAGGCCTATGGGCAGTGACCTATGTGCACTAGTTTGAGTATAGGCAGTAATCTATGGCCACTAGTTTGCCTATAAGAAGTAGCCTATATACGATTAGTAACCTCTGGGCACTAGTAGACCTAAAGATCGAGAACTCGTTCAGAATGAGAATTTAAATTTATTGACAACCGATGTAAGGTTTATGGAGAGGACAGAGGTAAGATTGGGATAATATGGAAAGGAGGTTGAGTTCACGTTGAGAATGAAAAATTTCTATGAGAGGTATCACGATAAAGTGGTATCTAATATATGGCTGGCTGTGCTGAAATGGGTGAGACTACGGTGTTGATAAAGTGTAACGCAAGTGCACTAAAAGTTTAATGAAAGCAAAACGAGAATGCAGCGGGAGTTTATAAGTATGTGAGGACCTCAGCAGCGTGGTCGTGGTGCTGTAAGGTGCTGAGGGTGGTGGCGGTGATGATGTCGCTGAGCAGCGTCAGGAGTGACGTGACCGTGGGAGAGGGCGCCAGGGACGGCGGGATGGCGTGCAGCAGCTCGCAGCTCTCCTCCACCTGATAATAATTTCCAAAAATATAATAGGATAACAAAAATATAATAGGAAACTAATGTAATTATTAGTCATAAAGCAATCAGTCCACACTAAATATCAGTCCCTGGGTAATATCAGTCCCTGTGTAATATCAGTCCCTGAGTAATATCAGTCCCTGAGTAATATCAGTCCCTGAGTAATATCAGTCCCTGAGTAATATCAGTCCCTGGGTAATATCAGTCCCTGAGTAATATCAGTCCCTGGGTAATATCAGTCCCTGGGTAACATTTCCAGAGTAATATCAGTCCTTGCATAATATTGCACCACGGTATGTGGAAGTTATGACTGAGTTACAGCCATGTTAAAACTGTTACTACGATTTAAATGAATAAATATGGAAAAACAATAAGTGTGAGCCAGTCACACTTAATTTTCAAAAAATATTTCATAACACTAAAGGATACTAATAAGACTAAAGGATTTCATAAAGATACACAGCAATGCCCAATACCCGCCTAGGATCCTCGTGTTGACGTCCGCAATTGGCGGGGCGGATTCCAATCACTCTATATTAATTAATTATTACCTGCGTCTGGAGGGCGGCGAGGAACATCTTCTGGCAGAGCTGCTGCAGCTCGTCCAGCGCGCACACCAACAGCCCTGCCCCTGTCAGCTGATGCACCACAAACTGTAAGTCGTCTCAACAAAATGATAAGCAGAAACTATCCATGCATGAATCCTTTGGATTCATGCATGGATAGTTCAACAGCCCCGACCCTGTCACCACAAACTATCAGTCGTCTCAACCAAATGATGGCTACTACAATATAAGCAGAAACTATAAAAAAAAATAAGCAGAAAATATCCATGCATGAATCCTTTGGATCCCAAAGAACGAAGCGGTCTATAAATGTCTAATACCGCTTTTTACAAAGAATAAAGAAGTTTATTTAGAATTATTATAGAAAGCTTGTCTTGTAGTACAATTTTCTGGACTTAATAAGAGTAATTTGTGTAACTACGAGTTACTATGACATTGGGCAGCCGTTTATCCTGCCACATGAGACAACCAGGCTGTCAACCGCTTTGTGCTGGAGGAACCCACCAGCATCGTCATCAAGCAGTGGCCTAACATCAACCGACCGACGATAACTGAACCACTCATCTCTACGGATTGGGCGCCAACATCTATCTCTCAACTACCGGGTTTGTCTGAACTTTGAGATAGTTTTCAGGGTAATTTTTCAGGTTCAAATTTCACTGTTGTATCCTTTTTACGTATATTATGTACTTATTTACACCAAAATTTCAATATTCAATGCTTCTTTTAAGTTTAAAATTAATAATTATTTCAAGTTACAAGATGCATTAAATGTTTGTTTGTTGCATTCGAAACCTGGTTAATAAACTAAAATACTTCCTGAAACATGCCTTTCGATCTTCCAACGTCATCTGAAGAATTGTCCGACTCTCTGATAATTTAAATCAACGAATTCTCTGGTCATTAATAGCACGTCTATAAACAAACAAAGCCTACCATCTAATACTAATATATTATATTACATATGCATATAATATAAGCGTCTATTACGCTGTTGTGAGGCATGAGCGACTAATAACTTGCATGAGGATAAAACAAATTTCCACTCCTTCCTTCTAAAAATTATGAAGCATTTAAATTCAGATAATTACACGTCTTAATAAACATTAGACGAATTTACAGCAAGTCCTGTACAAAAGTTGTTATAACATCAGAAATGATTCCTGCAGTTATAACGTGCTTATAATGAACAGAAATCTCCACCCCATCCCCTCTCCCACTCTGGACACCGAGAAATGATTAAGTCAGTGATTTCGACCCAGGATGCGACTTTGTGATGAGTACTTAAGAACAAGTACAAAGATGAGTTGTTATCTCAATTGTCGATTAATTCTCAATTTAATACACATAGAAGCAACATTGCTTCAAAATTTTACCTATTAAATAATATCTGTATGTTAAAACGAGAATACGAGTCAGCATCACCCAGTTTGATAACCACAAAATGACTTTGAATAGAAGGCTGTTAAAAATGAGCTCTCAGACACGGGAGTGAACTGTAGCCCTCAAGCAGATCTCGCCCCAGCGTCCACGCACCTGCTCGATGGTGTTGCTGTAGAACTGAAGCAAGCCTCGCATCTTGTAGAGCATCACGGGCTTCTTGCTGACGTGTGGGCGGTGGGGGGAGGCACTGGAGTCCTGGGGGAGCCTCTTCCTGGTGGGTTCCCCCGACACGATCATCGTCTCGATGCGCGTCTTCAGCGGCCGACACACCGACTCGGCGATGCTGGCCAGACTCGAGCTCGTCTCAGCCGACACGTCTGGGTCAACACATCAGTTCTTTAAAACAACGTCGATGCTGACATAGTCATCAAAAATTATTCTGAATTATGTAACAAAAATCACAATAGATATTATGCCCGCATAATATTTCAGCCTTCAGTATATTCTTTCAGGGTGTTTTTACCAAGTCAAATAAATGATTATTCAGATAATTATGGCACACTCTTGATATGAAACTGACAACACCCGCAGCCAAGTCAACATTAGCCTCTGCTCTGCGTGCTCACCCAGACTCTTGCAGCCCCCAAAAAGCGCCCCCATGACCTCTCGTTCCCCCGCCAGGGCCTGGTGCAGCCACGCCAGCATGTCCCCCACGTAGCGGGTAGGGGAGTGCGCCCCCAGCTCGATGGGGGAGTGTGTGGGGGACAAGTGGGTGAGGGAGTGCAGGAAGTTGCGGGACAAGGCACCCCTGCGCACCACCACCCACTCCTCCACCACTAACCTGCGGGAGGAGTATTTCAATATCAAGGGCCTCAGGGTACATAATAATTTTAAGAGTATAAATTATTTTGAGGGTGTTATGTTAATAATTATAGTCCCGGGAAATAGGATGAAAAGGTATCAACAATTGATAGGACATCATTCAAAAATTGGTCCGGATCGAAATGAAGAATCCAAAAAATGATTGCGAGTGAAAGGAACAAAAAAAGTGGTAGATGTATCTCACATTCAGACAAACTCATCATAAGAGAAAATAACTCCAAATAGAAAGTTATATTTGAAAGAAAGAAAAATTATATTCCATTTTAATACTTGGCAACTGTTAATATTAAAATAGGATTAACAGAATCTCCATTCGATGAGCCAACAGTAACATGAAGAGCTGAGGCCTGTCCTCCAGGGAGGCCACGAGGCACTACACATGAGGTCACCTGAAGAGCTGAGGCCTGTCCTCCAGGGAGGCCATGGCGGTGGGCAGGGCGGCGGTGAGGACATCGCTGACCCTGGCCTGCTGCAGCAGCCAGCGGTACAGCGCCCCCACGCCCGCCTCCCGCACCTCGCTCACGTGCGACAGCACCTCCAGCGCCGTCGTCTGCTCGCCCGTCTGCGGGACAAGGGTCTTAATGAGGCTTAGTGTACAGTCGTCTGCTCGCCCGTCTGCGGGTCAAGGGTCTTAATGAGGCGTAGTGTACAGTCGTCTGCTCACCCGTCTGCGGGTCAAGGGTCTTAATGAGGCGTAGTGTACAGTCGTCTGCTCACCCGTCTGCGGGACAAGGGTCTTAATGAGGCGTAGTGTACAGTCGTCTGCTCGCCCGTCTGCGGGACAAGGGTCTTAATGAGGCGTAGTGTACAGTCGTCTGCTCGCCCGTCTGCGGGTCAAGGGTCTTAATGAGGCGTGCGTGGTTAGTGTACAGACACAGGCTGGGTCTTAATGAGGCGTGCGTGGTTAGTGTACAGACACAAGCAGGGTCTTAATGAGGCGTGCGTGGTTACTGTAGCCAGCCACACAGGGTCCTAATTAGAGAACAGACAGTTTAGAGACCAGCAAGGTTGAAGAGAACCAAGATATAAGAAGAGAAGGCAATTGGTACCTTTATTTGTGCCAGGCATATTCTATTGGGAAAGCCATTGATTAGTCCATATGTATTCAAATAATTTTAACATAATAATATATATATATATATATATTCTAATACAATTAACATATAATTTATTATCAATGATGTATGAATATTTATTGACTCAATCAGTAAAAAAAGTGGATAAAAAATTGTATGATAATAACTGTCATGAATTATCTCTTCACCTGCAACAAGTGTTTAGTGTTGTTCTTAATAGCGAGCGTCTTGTCAAGAGCAGCAAAGAACTCAGGCCCTATCCTAGGGCTGGAGGACTGGAGCAGAGCCACCTCAGCCGGTGTCAGCAGGAAGGCTCGGGCGCAAGCTGCTGCCACCTGCTGCTGCATTGCCAGTGTTGTCCTGGTAATAAAACATCTTTATAATAATTGCTCATTTGTCTGTACTGCAAATCCACTATTTTTACTTTATACTATAACTAAATTTTACATTCTATTATAGGTTTGGCTTTCACAGTGTTTTTGTACAAATGAATTACCGGTATATCTTATTGCTCTCCTGAAAAATGTTATAGAAAATATTTATTATATTGATTTGTCTCAAAAATATTTCGGTTCATATGAACTGTGATCATTAATCATTGAGGATTTGGAATGCAAGTATATTTAAGCACCCAGATAAGCACACTTACACTTTTCTACCAATTGAAACATTTAAATTTGCAAACTATCATTCAATATATTTATTTAACAGGAAAAAATAAATTTTTAATTGTTTCTTCATCATATACTAAACCTTGATATTATATTAATATATGAATAATATCTCTTTTTTAATCATGATTTTCTACTTCTGTATAATGGCCTTATCGTACATATATTGATACATCTTTTTCAACTTCAAATGTATTGTTTTACATAGAGATGCGACGTAAAAAAAACACTCATGTTTTTTTTAATAAAAAACAAGTTTTTTTAATAAAAAACATCAGCCTAAAAAAAACATGTTTTTTATTGTTTTTTTTAGAAAAACATAAATAAATGCAAATTAATCCATAATCACTTTACCTGAGGGCCACAGGATGATAGGTGACAGGTCTATGCTGTATCTTAAAATTCCTAATATCATTGAATGACAGCGAAGTCATTTGTATTGCATCATAGCTACTTGCCTATTGCATCATCTTTCAATAAACGTAGCAGGTGCAGGCTGCCAGGCGGCGCCGCGTCCCGCGCGGCTTGTTAAATCGTCCTTGCATATTGCATCATCTTTTTCATAGGTCATGGTGAGTGACTGAAAATGGAATGCTTTGAAAATATTTATTTTTTGTATTTTTTGCATACTTTGATTTTTGAGTACAATAAGGAAATGAAAAATTTGTTTATTTACCCTTTTAAGCTTTGAACTAGAAGTATTAGGCTTGATAAATTATAAATCACACATGAGATATGTTAATTGTTAAATAAGATTTAAAAACACATCATTTCAATGTATATTAAGGGTATAGATATATTGATCCCAAATAAATACACGAAAGAAAAAAAACAATAAAAAACAAAAAAAAACACATAAAAAAAAACGTTTTTTTTACCAAAAAAAACACTCTGGAAAAAAAAACGTTTTTTTTGCATCTCTACTTTTACACCATCAGAATTCTTATATGCAACAAATTTATCAAACTTGCCAGCTGTTAAACTAACCGCTGTTTGTGCAGCTTGGCAGTCTGCTCAGTGAGGTGCTTAGTCTCAGCTTTAGCAGCCTGGAGCTTGGCTTTCATCTCTGTACACTGAGAATTGATTATCTTGACATCATCATAAATGGCGTCAACAGCATCTTTCACCAACTTCAGAGCTGCAACAAACTCTTGGTTGATGCTGACACTGCGCTGCTCAATCTGGCCACGCAGGTTGCGGCGAGCCTTCATTGAGTTCTCAGGGAAGAATAAAGACAGCTCGCTCAGGGCTTCCACTGCAGCCTGTATAACAAATAATGTAATGAATCATTGAATACTCTTATTTATGACCTATTTCTTGAGAATCATTCAAATTTGGATGGAATTTCAGTTCCTAGAGTACACAAAGGCATCACACACCAAAACAGACTTTGTCTATGACTCTCAGAATTCCTGGTGAGGCAAGTGAAGTCACATCCAGGCCTGGTGCAATAGGATAATAAAAACCATTGCATATTCATTACATTAGATGTGTCCTGACTGGGCACAAGTCAAACACATGTTTAAAGAACTTCACAAGTAATTATCTGAAAAATCAGCCACTTTTCTGTAGGGTTAGTTATGGTATAGCTTTGAAAAATTTAATTTTCATGTTCTCATGTTATCATTTCAAATTTTATGTTCTCTAATAATCAGATACCATGATAACGCATCTTGTTTGCAAAGCAAATAATTTTTTTCATTTCATAATTGAAATATAGTCAAATGGGGTAAGACAGGATCGCAGCCTTCATGGGGTAAGAAAGGACCAGCCCATGGCATGCATTCTAATTGTACTGAATTTAATTTGAAGGAAGAATATGTTAGAGCAATCATTGCATGTCATTTCAATGTGTGTTTCAACCCTCTTCTGCAAATAATGAATTTCTGGCTAATTTTTAAAGAAAACCTATGTATAGAAGGGTCACAAAATAGTTAACCCTATTTGGGAAATAAGCTCTATCTAATGACAAAAAATTTTTTAGCCAGGTTTGTGGCTGTAGGCAGGTAACCTCAAGTAATAAGCAACTTTTGAGACATACTAGGCATTTCTACCTGTTACCATCACTGCCTGACATCTATTCTAAAATGGGGCAAAAAAGGACCAGACATGGGGTAAGAGGGGACCACTAAATGATCCTGTTTTGCCCCACAAGTGGTCCTATCTTACCCCACAAATGGTCCTGTCTTACCCCACAAATGGTCCTGTCTTACCCCACAAATGGTCCTGTCTTACCCCACAAATGGTCCTCTCTTACCCTACAGTTTATCAAAAATAGTTTTTAAATTAATATATTATTGAGGAGTACATGGAGTATTTTGGTCAAAATTTTCATCTTTTGCTCAAACTTCATTATAACTTGTTAGCTGTTTTAATTAGAGAAATTTAGTGCACTATTTCAAATTGCATCACAGGGATGGAGAAAATAGGGATGTCTCTTCCCATTAGTGAGCTGCAGAACTATGTGCAACATTGGCTGGGGGAAAAGCCATTGTGTGAAACATGAAAAATAATTATGATCACAACTCTGTGAGAGGGCATGAGCTATGTTTGAAAAAGTGCACCACAAATGCTGTTAGCAAGAAAACACATGATGTCTGAGACTCAAGTTATTATCCATCAATTGGTTTTATTACCAATTTGATAAATTTTCCAGACAATGACATTATGACACTAATGGAATATACATGAAGTATTTAGCAGTGCTCTACAATGAACCAAAGCCAACCCACTTTTACTATGCTTAACAAAGTTTTCTCGTGACAAAAACCCCAATGTGACTGAAATTAGAGTTGACTTCCCGCAACACAAAACAGTAACAAGTGGTTGTTTAATCAAATAATGTGTTTCCAGATGGATAATATTGAATAATCAGATTTATACTTTTATTAAAAACTTCGTAACATAAGAATTACCTGTTGAATGTTACGTTACGTAATTACCTGACCAGCTCACTTTTTTCAATCTGTACAGAAAACTATGTTGGATGCAAAATGTCTGAGTTGTAGCTTAGAAGCCCATTGCATAAATACACCTTGTGATAGGTTTAGGGTTTTTTAGTTATTCATAGTATAGATGCTACAGGCTTGTTAGTGATTTTGGTCCTGTCTTACCCCATCTGACTATATAAACCTTTCACTAATGATAAAATAATCCATTTAAATCAAAGTTAATTTAAATGATTCCCTCAAATACAGAGAATAAAAGGAGCTGGCTTGTCCATAATGATTGGAATCATGAATTGCAAAACAAAACTCAACATATCTCAAGCATCAAAAAATAATTATTTTTCCGAATAAAATAAACCTATGGTAAAATAAAGCTCACCTTATCATTTTCAATCCTGGTTTCTAATATTTTATTGATTTTTCTCGACAGAGGGTTTGTTGTTTGGCCATCTTTTGACAGCTGAGATTCCAAGTGCCCATTAGCACCAGCTTTGTTTTCAACCATTGTATTGGATGGAATAGGATTAATTGACCTTAAAAATGACACTTAAAAGAAAATTTTCCAGTAGCTAAAAATCCATAGGTAGCAATAAATCTGGAAATTGAAGATGGAAAACATCATGATTCCACTGTCAACAGACAGCATTAATAAATGGGTTACTATCATAACTTTTTGATCTTGGATAAATTTACTGTCATCATTGCTATTTGTAATTAGTGGCTTGGGACCAAGAAGTCCCATCAGTTACAAAATGCTTAATATATATGCCCTCAAATGGGTAATAAAGAAAAATTTTGAGAGTTTTTTGTTAATAACTTCTTAAGTTTGGGCTCATTTTAAAGGTCTTTGCAAGGGCTATTGTATGACATCTCTGAAAAAATTCTGCCTGCTATTTGTAAGATGCCAGACACAAGAGAAAAGAGTCTCAAATGACCCTTCTGAGAACTGGGTAATTCAAGACACTTGAAATAAAACTTAATTTTAAAACATATGAAGTACTCCAAAGTCCTCCTCTTCTTTTGTAGATGATGTACTGTATATGTAGAATAAATTACATTTTTGTGATTTGTACGTGTTTTTTCTTCATTGATATGATATTATCATATCCATCCATTACCATATTAATGATGTGACATTCCTGTATCCATTGACATACCATTGAGCATTTACAACGACCTTTTCCACTGCAAGCTTCTAATCAGCATCCGTATAGCATTTCTGCTGTATCTAAGCTTACAGGACTGAGGACTGGGCTAATAATTTCACACCATTTTAATTGGGTCAAGTGAATTCACTATAGAATAGAATAGAATAGAAGTGTTGGCGTTGAAGACATAGGCCCATGGCCTGTTGCCGATTCTTGAACTTTTCGTGACTTGATTCACAAGGGATCCGGCCTTTGGAACCCGATCTTTCCATAACTGACGATTGATTGAGATAGCTGCTGGACTTATTGCCTGCTCCGTAATTTGCTAGGTCTCAGCCCACTCACACAGTCCACTAAGGACTTCCAGCCCACTCACAGTCCACTAAGAACCCTCAGCCCACTCACAAAGTCCACTAAGGACTCTCAGCCCACTCACACACTCCACTAAGTACACTCAGCCCACTCACACAGTCCACTAAGGACTTCCAGCCCACTCACAGTCCACTAAGAACCCTCAGCCCACTCACACAGTCCACTAAGGACCCTGAGCCCACTCACACAGTCCACTAAGGACCCTCAGCCAACTCACACAGTCCACTCCCACTCACACAGTCCACTAAGGACCCTCAGCCTACTCACACAGTCCACTAAGGACCCTCAGCCCGCTCACACAGTCCACTAAGGACCATCAGCCTACTCACACAGTCCACTAAGGACCATCAGCCCACTCACACAGTCCACTAAAAACCCTCAGCCCACTCACACAGTCCACTAAGGACCCTCAACCCACTCACACAGTCCACTAAGGATCCTCAGCCCACTCACATAGTCCACTAAGGACTTCCAGCCCACTCACACAGTCCACTAAGGACCCTGAGCCCACTCACACAGTCCACTAAGGACCATCAGCCCACTCACACAGTCCACTAAGAACCCTCAGCCCACTCACACAGTCCACTAAGGACCCTCAACCCACTCACACAGTCCACTAAGGATCCTCAGCCCACTCACACAGTCCACTAAGGACTTCCAGCCCACTCACACAGTCCACTAAGAACCCTCAGCCCACTCACACAGTCCACTAAGAACCCTCAGCCCACTCACACAGTCCACTAAGAACCCTCAGCCCACTCACACAGTCCACTAAGGACCCTCAACCCACTCACACAGTCCACTAAGGACCTTCAGCCCACTCACATAGTCCAGTAAGGACTTCCAGCCCACTCACAGTCCACTAAGGACTTCCAGCCCACTCACACAGTCCACTAAGAACCCTCAGCCTACTCACACAGTCCACTAAGGACCCTGAGCCCAATCACACAGTCCACTAAGGACCCTCAGCCTACTCACACAGTCCACTAAGGACTATTCAAATTCGGTCCACCACGCCCCACGGCCAGTGTAGCTGTCAGCTGACTTTCTTCAGAAGTGCAAAAGCTTTTGCCGGTGAAGGTGTTTTACGATCGGTCCGTAAAGAAGCGTTGATCGGTTCAAAATGACATAAGAACAGGTTCTTTTGAATAACCTATGGATTGCCACCATGGCGCTAAGTGCAGGTTGTTGGCAGTCCTGACAGTACCAGTGTACTGATTTGTTTTTACGAATAACCGAGCAGTCAGTCTTGCTTAACTTTGCAAGTTTGCATGATATATAACAAAAAAAATTATAAAAAACATTCCTGAAACAGAAAGGAATATTTTAGTGACAACCATCATATTTTTTGGAGAAATAAATCATAGCTTGAGTTAATTACTTTTCATTCTATGTTGCCCACTGCACAATTCCATTGATGATATTCTATGCACAATTGTCTGATGACTGATGATGCATTAATTTTTCATCAAGTGAAATTGTTTTATTGGCAACTGGCAAGGTACCGTAATAAAAATTCTTTGCTCTTAAGTAATCAATTTTTTTCATTAACTGCAGGTGGAGCCTTTGCTAACCAAGGTTCTACTGTAAATTTGCTTTAAGGGTGTCCCACATTGCCTGGACTGAGCAACCCAGAGGGCCAGAGGCAGTGGCCACTCACTGGCCAGTGCCACGCTGGCATCGAGTGACGGAGTCACTGACATTTTAATTGCCAGCATTGATGACAAGTAAGCCTGGTTTGTCCAATAGCGATTTAGAAACTAGAACGATAGATTGCACAAAATTTACAAATAAGGCACACAAATAATCAATTAATTATCGAACGTAGGACCACCGACCACAGGCCCCCGTCCGGACCCCGGAGCAAAATACCAGGCAAAACAATCAGGCAGTCCGTGCACGCTGAATAAAAAATTAAGCCAATTTCATTAAAGAAAAGCAGTCATGAAATTTCGTTTTATTTATGTCAATAAATGCTGCTTCTATAATTCATCTCTTAGTCATAGTATAAAAATTAAATATTTCACAAAAGTATTAAAGCCTAGTTTTGAACGATACACGAATCCACGTCCAGCGACCCAGCCAAGCATAACCTAACCTTCTACTCAGATTCTTCTGAACTTAGTCAACTATACTTGTATACTGAGACCGGCACGAGAAGATATGAATTGATTCATTCCCTGCAATTCAGCCAAAACAAAATTTGTACTTGCGCACCAAATTGAATAGCGTGTAGCAGAATGGATATGCGTGTTGGAGCATCAGATGACCCCCAAATTTACTTCAGCATCACATTTCGTGCATCATCATCTTCAGGGGCATGATAGTGCAATTTTGCTATAGAAGTCTTTAAGTATAAGTTCAAATTTCATACTGGCAAGAGAACAAACAAGCTACTAAATTATTAAACGTGTGCTATCCGTGATAGGCCACGGCATTGTGGCCGAGAGGCCAAAGTCAGGGTCCCACAATTTGAGCACGGAGTTGCGGGTTCGGCACCAGAAGCACACTGCAAAGTTCTGCACATCACCCCACTCGAGAGGCTCTGGTGCCCCAACCGTAAGACTTGAAGGTTTCGTTTCTGGTCAAAATCGGCGAGGCAGCCGATCAATTAGGCGCAGTGGAAATTGCAGCGATAAGTTGCGTGTTCGCAACCTGCAACAAGCTATGAATATTCTGCGACGTTCAGAAGAGGCAAGTCGAATAGCCAATTTTCAGTACTGGTATCGCTATCAAATCTACCAAATTACAGTCCATCTGCTTTATAACTTCCGCTTCCAGGGCTCCGTCGATTTTTGATTAACAAATAATAAGTTTCCTTAAAATAGTTTAATAAGGGCAGAGAGCATTATCAGGAATCATTCTCTCCACCTGCAAGGCTTTGCTCCTAAGGTTGCCTAAACTGTAGGGCAAAATTGTATAAAAGGGTGCTCACTAATTGATGGGATAATACTCTCTAAGAACTTGTAAAGAATATAAACCGCATGAGCATAATTACGTGAATCATGAATGAATTAACGAAATTTAGATTTGATGGAAACCAAGTGCTTAAACTGTTTGGAAGGTGGCTAATCAGAGCAAGATACTCCCTATCCAGTTGTCGAGATTGAATCTACCAGGAAGACTCCGATAACACAGCCCCAACCGTCACTGCATTTCGCAAGCCCTCCCCCCACGACAAAGACGGGGCGGCATGGGGAGGGAGCTAAAACCTAACTATTTGCAAATTTCGTTAATATCTCCTCTGCTTCTTTGTACTCCGCGCAGAATAATTATTCGGGAATAAGCCCAAAGTTTCAGCTGACGAGCGAAAATGTGGCGTCCACCTAATGGCGCACACACCAAATGGGGCATACACCCAATGGGGCGGGGCATACACCAAATGGGGCATACACCAAATGGCGCATACACCAAATGGGGCATACAGCAAATGGGACATACACCAAATAGGGGCATACACCAAATGGCGCACACACCAAATGGGGCAACTACACTTAGTGTACGCTGGCGTGGGCAGAAGTGGTGGGACGTCGACAGGAATTGACAGCCACGATACAAAATTTTATTCCGCTGTAACAGATGACTTACAAGTTCAAAATATTCTATGTTAATCGTCTAGGTTTGTAAACTTATTATTTTTCATTGGCATGAAGAATTTAATTATTTACTACCATGTACTATGAATGATTTATAGGAAGACACCAGGTGAGATAAATCGCAGCCTTGCTAGATGTAATACATTCAGCCTTGCTGAATGTAAACAAGAGCTATCAGAAGACTTCAGTGCAAGAAACCTTAGCGGTTTTTTGCACTAAAGTTTAAAGCAAATTTCGCGTTTGCAATTAATTTCATCAAAACGACTGAATAAATGTTATTCTGACGTCAACTATCGTATCCATGATAAACATGCATAACACTGTATATCGAATTAGATAACGTAACAGAAATGGAAAGAGAATGGATAATCTCAATGTAAAATTCTAGAAAATTATCCATCCATGATATCCTATTAGAAATAAAGGATTTCTAAATGGTGGACCCTATTTAATGAATTTGCATTTATTCAAGTATAGATTTAAAATAAATAATTAATATACCAATGGAAAGAGAAACATTCCGTTTTTTAACCTATTCAAACGTATAATTATCCGCCCAATGGGCATCATGATCTCCAAAATTTTTTGGATCAGTCACTACCCCGAGCGTTGGGTAGGACGCATAGGAAATGAAGATCAGGCCCTACACTTCAGTGGACACCGAGATCACCTGATCTCACTTCATGTTTCTTATGGGGTTACTTTAATGAAGTTGTTTACGTCCCGCCTCTACCAGCAACTCTGTTTACGTCCCGCCTCTACCAGCAACTCTGTTTACGTCTCGCCTCTACCAGCAACTCTGTTTACGTCCCGCCTCTACCAGCAACTCTGTTTACGTCCCGCCTCTACCAGCAACTCTGTTTACGTCCCGCCTCTAGCAGCAACTCTGTTTACGTCCCGCCTCTACCAGCAACTCTGGTTGATCTGAAGAACCGTATCACTGCTACGGTACACTCAGTAACAGAAGATATGCTTTCTCGTGTGGGACGAGTTTGGCTACCGTTTAGATGTTTGCCGTGCAGCACAAGGGGGACAAATTGAACATTCATAAATAAGTATGAAAAACTTTCAATCTTTCTCTTTCCTTTGGTGTACAAATTAATCATTTTGAATTCATACTTGGATAAATACGAATTTATTGAATTATGTTCATCATTTAGAATTACCTTTGTACTTAAGATAATATATTATTAGGATCATTAACCTCTTTGGAATATTTTTATGATAAACCATCATTTCATATCCAGGCCAAATATCGATAACGGAGGATGTAATTCAACAAAAAACGCCCAAAGAATATTTTCGGGCAAAATCTATGTAGAAACATTATTCTATAGCATTCCTGGGAATTAGTATTCAGTAAAATAAGGCTGTTGGCGTATCGGAGATTTGAAACTTGGCAAACATGCGAGGTAGGATACGTCCCAGGAAATATAAAAGTACGAAGCGACAACGATGTAACAAGTCCCGTTACATTGGAAGGAGACGTCTAAAGGAACAGAAAAGTACGAAGCGACAACGATTTAACTAGCCCCGTTAAGACAGATTCTGCAACTGGACAGAGACTATGAGTGGGAGGGCGACGGGAGATGCAGGTCCCCCCGCAGGGAGTGGGCGGAGACATGCATCATGGACGCCTCGTGCTCCAGGAAGTGGGCGACCGCGCGTTCCCGCACTGGCGGCCCCCACGCGTACAGCTCCCTGGAGGGTCGGTAGGTTTAGGGCACACTTGTCATTCAAGAAATATTGCTAACATCATAAAAAATGCATAGTATTTGAGGAACAATGTATCCTTACTTACAAATCCTATGTAATCTGTTGCTGTTATCACTCGAGAAATTAGGCTGCACGGCGCCCACCTGTATATAGGGCGCGTGTACTTCATCCGTCCCTGCTGCGTGACGAAGTCCAGCGCAGGTCCCACGGCCTCCTCCCAACGCGCCTTCAGCGCCAGCCGCAGCCACTGCGACCTGTGCACACGATTATATGCATTCTTGACTAATAAATAATCAATACATAGCATTCATTTTTTACGGATAAACAATCTCTAGTATCGCTACAACAATTAATACTTAGTGATAGTATTGACCATTACATGGTATGTGGTAGCTCTTGATAGCGGCACAACCCCAGGCTGCAGTTAGAACAACTGTTGAGACTGGCACCTGGTGCTCACCGCACCCCGGCACCTGGTGCTCACCGCATCTCGCAGTTGGTGCTCACCGCATCTCGCAGTTGGTGCTCACCGCATCTCGCAGTTGGTGCTCACCGTATCTCGCAGCTGGTGCTCACTGTATCTCGCAGTTGGTGCTCACCGTATCTCGCAGCTGGTGCTCACCGTATCTCGCAGTTGGTGCTCACCATATCTCGCAGTTGGTGCTCACCGCACCCCAGCAGCAGGTGCTCACCGTATCTCACAGTTGGTGCTCACCATATCTCGCAGTTGGTGCTCACCATATCTCGCAGTTGGTGCTCACCGCACCCCAGCAGCTGGTGCTCACCGTATCTCACAGTTGGTGCGTGCGAACATGCCGTAGTGGCGCTCCATGGCACTCAGTTTGCGTGCAGGCAGCGGCGGCAACTGCGCCAGGAATTCGACGATCTGCTGGGATGAGAACGCGTCCAGATCCTTGGGGGAGAAGGGGAAGTCTGGGCCTTCATCCTCACCCTCCCACGACTCCCACTTCTTCGCCAGCTCCCCACACGCTTGCGCCAANAGGTTAGGGAGGGGAAGTTTGTTAAGGCAGGTTAGGGAGGGGAAGTTTGTTAAGGCAGGTTAGGGAGGGGAAGTTTGTTAAGGCAGGTTAGGGAGGGGAAGTTTGTTAAGGCAGGTTAGGGAGGGGAAGTTTGTTAAGGCAGGTTAGGGAGGGGAAGTTTGTTAAGGCAGGTTAGGGAGGGGAAGTTTGTTAAGGCAGGTTAGGGAGGGGAAGTTTGTTAAGGCAGGTTAGGGAGGGGAAGTTTGTTAAGGCAGGTTAGGGAGGGGAAGTTTGTTAAGGCAGGTTAGGGAGGGGAAGTTTGTTAAGGCAGGTTAGGGAGGGGAAGTTTGTTAAGGCAGGTTAGGGAGGGGAAGTTTGTTAAGGCAGGTTAGGGAGGGGAAGTTTGTTAAGGCAGGTTAGGGAGGGGAAGTTTGTTAAGGCAGGTTAGGGAGGGGAAGTTTGTTAAGGCAGGTTAGGGAGGGGAAGTTTGTTAAGGCAGGTTAGGGAGGGGAAGTTTGTTAAGGCAGGTTAGGGAGGGGAAGTTTGTTAAGGCAGGTTAGGGAGGGGAAGTTTGTTAAGGCAGGTTAGGGAGGGGAAGTTTGTTAAGGCAGGTTAGGGAGGGGAAGTTTGTTAAGGCAGGTTAGGGAGGGGAAGTTTGTTAAGGCAGGTTAGGGAGGGGAAGTTTGTTAAGGCAGGTTGGGGAGGGGAAGTTTGTTAAGGCAGGTTAGAGAGAGTATGATCAGGGAGGAATGGTAGGGGATGGTATATTAGGAGAGGCTAGGCTGGAAGTGATGGGCTAATGGACTGGTTTACATACTTATCATTCCCCATTTTAACCTCTGCTTCCTTAATTTGTGGTACACAATGATATGGGGAAGGCTGCTAATCAAACGTAGGCTGGAGGGAGAATAAACTGGGAATATAAAGCTGGGGAGGATAGCTCATGAAGGTTAGGCTTCCAAGTGTGGGCTAAGGAGAGCAGACAGGAGCAAGCAGGCTGAATAATGAATGATCTCAGCCTACTAACAAGTCCATTATAGACCCTCAGCCCACTCGCACAGTCCACTAAGGACCCTCAGCCCACTCACACAGTCCACTAAGGACTTCCAGCCCACTCACAGTCCACTAAGAACCCTCAGCCCACTCACAAAGTCCACTAAGGACTCTCAGCCCACTCACACACTCCACTAAGTACACTCAGCCCACTCACACAGTCCACTAAGGACTTCCAGCCCACTCACAGTCCACTAAGAACCCTCAGCCCACTCACACAGTCCACTAAGGACCCTGAGCCCACTCACACAGTCCACTAAGGACCCTGAGCCCACTCACACAGTCCACTAAGGACCCTGAGCCCACTCACACAGTCCACTAAGGACCCTGAGCCCACTCACACAGTCCACTAAGGACCCTCAGTCCACTCACACAGTCCACTAAGGTCCCTCAGCCCACTCACACAGTCCACTAAGGACTTCCAGCCGAGTATGGCAGAGAAGTGTCGTGTAGGCAGGCCGTGCAAGGCGCCCTCAATCTTGCGCTGCACCAGCATCGTCATGCCCTCGTTCAGCCAGAAGTCCCCCCACGTCCTGTTGGTGACCAAGTTGCCAGTCCAGCTGTGGCTGATCTCGTGAATGACCACGTCTACCGCAGACTTGTCGCCTGCCTGCACAACCAAGACATGTATTAACATGTATAGAAATGGACAGACATGTGTAGAAATTGACAGACATGTGTAGAAATTGACAGACATGTACAAAAATGGACAGACATGTATAGAAATGGACAGACATGTTTAGAAATGGACAGACATGTATAGAAATGGAGACATGTGTAGAAATGGACAGACATGTATAGAAGTGGACAGACATGCGTTGAAATGGACAGCATACATGTGTAGAAATGGACAGACATGTACCTATAGAAATGGACAGACATGTATAGAAGTGGACAGACATGCGTTGAAATGGGCAGACATGTATAGAAATGGATAGACATGTGTAGAAATGGACAGACATGTATAGAAATGGACAGAAATGCGTTGAAATGGGTCTTCTGAGAAAACAATAATTTGTTTTATGTGTTTGAAATTGTGGTGGGTGGACTGTCTCGTGTGAAACACGAGATTACTCATTGAGAGAAATTTTATGTCCCTGCTAGTGGCAACATTCCTTTATGCGTTGTCGGGTGCTTTTACAAATAAAATAGTCGACGCTGAACTAGCCCCGAAACAACATTGTCGTAAGTTTTAAAGGAAGTGATAATGTGTTATTGCTTTGTTAATTTCTATTTTAAGCGACCATGCTTGTGAATAGTGAAATAATAGAAGGGAAACGTAGCTTTTAGAATTGACTCGTGTTTTCTGGTTCCTTGCAGTTTTAACAAATATATACCCCAAATCCTGGTGGCTGTTACTCCACCTACGGGAGAAGATTCATTATCCTCGAAGTAGGTGGCACAACATCTATAGAAATGGACAGACATGTATAGAAATGGACAGACATGTATAGAAATGGACAGACATGTTTAGAAATGGACAGACATGTATAAAAATGGACAGTCATTTATAGAAATGGACAGACATCTATAGAAATGGACAGGCATGTACTGACATGTTTAACATGTATAGACATGTATTGAAATGGCTAGACATGGTTGAAAATACGTGGAAATAAAAATAAATCACCGGACAAGTATAACATGCATTGAGAGATGTATGAAATATGCACATAAATGTTCAGGCAAGTGTGAATATCCATATAAATGGCTAGACTTTTATTGTCTTAATAGCGCATTACAATCTACAGTACCGGTATAGAAGCAACAGCACGAAGGGTAACAGAAGAGAGCTGTGATGCTGTAGAGGATGTCACATGTGTTTACAATTTAGTTCATTGCTACTGAAGGCTGGTCTAAGGTGGAAGTTACTTTTATTTAATTTTAAAAAAAGGTACGACTTTATCTGGCCATTTCACTCTTGTGTCCCGCTACTTCGCAAACGAAGACCCCGCACGCACCAGCAGGGTGGGGGTGACGAAGGTGAGGCAGGGGTTCTCCATGCCGCCGTAGGGGAAGGAAGGGGGGAGGACCACAAGGCCATAGTGCCCCCACACGTAGGGACCACACAGCCGCTCAGCGGCCTCCAGGGCCACCTCCGTCTGGTTGAGAGGTGGGTTTTAACTTTCTGAACTTGCGACAACATTTACTAATGCTTTTAATACCAACGAGTACACGGGGGCACATTGTGTGAAGATGAGGTATGTGTGCCGTGAAAAACTATACAAAAAAATACAGAATAACTAGTAGATTCCAAGCTTTATTAAACGGAAACCGGTCAATATATATAATTCATTGAAACAGGCAAGGCAAAGAAATATGACTAGCCACTATTGCTACTTGAAGGAAATGAATCACTGAACTAAATTCTTCAATAATTTTGACGAGCTTCGCCTGAGAGCGATAAACTCTTCAGGCACGCTTGCCAAGAGCCAGCATGAAGACAAAAAGCACAAACTGGCATGAAGACAAACAACACAAAATGGCATGAAGGCAAACAACACAAACCGGCAAACACAACCGGCATGTGGCAACATCTTGTTATAACCAGACACCCCAGACATTCATTTCAGCCAGTTGTGCCAAAAAAGGGTCAATCGTTTGCGTGTACCGAGTTGCAGTCACCGTTACTGCGTGCGGAATGCACGTTGATTAGCGATAATGGAACGGCCATTAGAAAAGTATGCCTAGACAGCAAGCGCACGCTGCTCACTTGTCCAATGCATAGTGACAACTGACTAAACTTCATAACCTTGCCTTTCATATGAAACACTACTTGCACTTTTCCTATAACATCTGACTTTTTGGTGCTAAATACAAAACAGGAAGTTTCATTGAATCACACTGTACAGTATGTATTATTGAAGACATTGGTCACTATGAGCGATTAATGTTATCACAACATGTCCCAGAGCTGTAAGCTAAACTAGCCAGAGCAATAACACCTCCAGGGTAAGAACCCTCCAGAGCAGCCTATCCAAATCCTGTTGCTCTGCAGCTCTTGTCTGTACACCTTACACGGCCAACCATCCAAATCCTGGAAGTCTGCAGCAGCTCTGGGCAGCACACACACCTCCTGGAACTCTGTAGCAGCTCTGGGCAGGACGCTGGGCTCGGCCCAGACGGTGACCCGGGGGCCCAGAGTTGCAGAGTCCAGGCGCCCCACGACCACCGCCAGCAGGTAAGCCGGCACAGGCACCGGCTGGCTGAACTGGCTGGGGGCATGACATGGCTGAACTGGCTGGGGGCATGACATGGCTGAACTGGCTGGGGGCATGACAAGGCTGAACTGGCTGGGGGTATGACAAGGCTGAACTGGCTGGGGACATGACATGACTGAACTGGCTGGGGACATGAGCTGTCTCTTATACACATCTAGATGTGTATAAGAGACAGGAACTGGCTGGGGGCATGGCATGGCTGAACTGGCTGGGGGCATGACAAGGCTGGGGGCATGACAAGGCTGAACTGGCTGGGGGCATAACATGGCTGAACTGGCTTAGAGCATGACTTCCCTAAATAATTTTCCTCCCTCCTCTATTCTTTCACTCCTCCCCTTCCGCATCCCTATCTCCCAAATGTCCCCCAAACATCTGTCCCTACCCTCTCCCCCTCACTAGCTTGTCCCCTGGGCGTGGTCTGTGGCGGCGCCCCTAAGGGCGCTCATGAGGGCGACAAGGCCCCGTGGGACGAGGACGGTTGCGCTGTAGGGGCCCTTGACGGCGGGCGCGTCCTGCAGGGGCGCCAGGGAGCGCCCGTGGATGGCCTGGCACTGCGAGAAGAGCAGCGGCGACGCTCCGTCCGCCGTCTGCCCCGCCGCCAGCCACTGCAGTGCCGTGCTCGAGGGCGACGTCTCGTACGTCACACGAACCACGTCCTCCCTGCACAGGGGGCGAGGCTCAGGGGGCGTGGTGTGGCTCAGGGGGCGTGGTTCAGGGGTATGGCTCTGGGGGTGTGGATCTGGAGGGTTCAGCACTCACCCTTTCCGCTACTGTGAGGTTCAGCACTCACCCCTCTGCCTCTGGGGGCTCGAGCAGGCTGACAGTGATGGGGGAGCCATAGATAGGATGCTTCTCCCCCACACTGAACTCCAGCAGCCGCCCCTCCTTCCTCCCCTCCTCCACCTTCAGCAGTGTTAGGTCACGAGAGTCAAGCACCTGTGGAGGAGGTCATGTTATAATCACTCCTATGTTACATTTTTACATGCATTACACATGTTACTCCAGATATTTTGCTCAATAATTCAAGTCAACTAAATCCTGTTTTTTGCAGTTAATTTTGGACATCACAGGAATTTCAACCCATTAAATGGCCCCAAACAAGCTGCAATAGTTCATAGCGGCAAAAAATATCTGAAAACGTCAATTCAATCAAAATGAAAGCCTGGCTAAATATGTACCGAGTTGTCAGTAAGTTATGCATGGGGACTGCTTAAAATATATCAGTTTGTTATGTTATCAGTGCCATCCAATGCATTATTGCCAGCAGCCTGAAACATCTTCACCACTCACTACCACTCCATTACCACCACTCATCTCCGCCCACCACTCATTTCTGCCCACCACTCATCCCTGCCCACCTTTCATCACTGCCCCCACCACTCATTACTGCCCACCAATCATCACTGCCCACTACTGCCCACCACCGACCAGTTGCCTGGCGTCAGGCTGGACCCGCTGTATGGTCAGCGTTGCTGTCCCAGAAATAACTTTTCTGTCAAAGTCGACCAGCCAATCCAGGTGCAGCTTGGTGACCCGCACTACATCTGCACAACAGAACCCAGTTCAGTGAGCTGCCCAGCTGCTGGGGTCAGTGAGCTGCCCAGCTGCTGGGGTCAGAGAGCTGCCCAGCTGCTGGGGTCAGAGAGCTGCCCAGCTGCTGGGGTCAGAGAGCTGCTCAGCTGCTGGGGTCAGAGAGCTGCCCAGCTGCTGGGGTCAGAGAGCTGCTCAGCTGCTGGGGTCAGAGAGCTGCTCAGCTGCTGGGGTCAGTGAGCTGCCAAGATGCTAATACCATAAGATGCAATTTAACAACAAAGTTTGTTGATTACTTCCATCAATCCTGATACACTCATGACCTATGAATAATGGTCATCAAATAGAAGATAACTGTTGTTACATAAAAGTAATCAACTCTAGCCCTCCTGGACTCAAATGAGGTTAAAACTTCACTACAGAGCATCTTTCTTTTGCCATTGTATTTATAATCTATTCATAAACTTTCTAGTCAACACAATACCTACTTTAATCAAGTTGCACTTCATGGAGGTATTTCTAGTTACACTGATAAGCTGGACATCAAATTTCTACCAGGCAAGCTTTTAACACCAATCATGGGAACAAAATTTCATTGATGAAAATAAAATAATTTCAACAGAAAAAAATTGTAATGCAATTATCAAGAAAAATATACTAATATCAACAGCACCCACCAGGTCTGGAAAATGAGCTGGGATCAGGACGGTCAGCCATCCTTACTTGTTGATAACAGGCTTGAAAAAGTTATTACAAGGCAATGAATTCAAATCAACAGATGTAAACTCTTGTAAGAAAAAAAAATGGAGTACCTTAAACAGATCAGTCAACCTGTAAATCAAAACCTGCAATGGAAATGCAATTACTCAGATTCGCCAAGACTTAGGTCCCTCACCAGCTCACCCTCAGCACAGTATATTTTTCAAACAATTTTTTGGTGAGTCATAGATAAATGGGTAACATTTAACATTGCAATCCATCATGTAAAGATAAAAATAACAACACGCTAATCGGCTAATGATACATTTTTTCACCTTTCTCAAGGAATTCAGAAAAATTTTAATAGCCACAGTCAATTTGATAAGTGAATGATAGATGAAATATGTATATATAATCTACTGCACAATAAATCTCTGCTCTAATGTAGACTTGTAGTTGTGGGCTGAACTTCCAATACACCACCAGGAAAAGTGATCAAACTGATCATCATATTGACTTGAGGGTCTTGCGTCTTGGAGCACAAATTCCTCCAAACCAGAATACACAACCGGGCAACCCACCACACCTGCCTGCTCTGTTGCAGTTTGCACCAGATAGTGGCAGTTAGTCCAGTTACCAGTATGTGGAGTTACTGGAGTAGGGTAAACGCGGTATATTCTGACACTTTAAGGACGCATCGAGAAATGAAAAACTATAAAAAAAACCGTATGCGTTACGCAAGTTCTGTTGCCTTCACATGACTCTCAAAACACTTCACTACGCGTCAGCAACTGATATGGAATTCACGGCTCGGTGAAATAGAATCACGGCTCGTAGAAATGGAATCACGGCTGGCAAATCCATAAAACCACGGCTCGAAAAATTCAGTCGCGGCTCGCCAAGTAGATATATTCCATACTAGCCAAGACCTAGTGTTTTTGCAGTATTTCGACACGCAAATGTATGACGTCACCATTTCAACCATCAATGAACGCATGGAACTAAAACAAAGCTTCGTATAAAGGAAAAACTAGAGAAGTGACGGAATTACCTACGATGTTGGAATATACAGCGTTTACCCTAAGTAGCCTTACTAGCATAGTGACAAACCACAGATTTTTTAGAATCAGTTCATTTATAATTTCCTCATTTACTCAAGAATTTAATCAATTTCTTATGTATGATAATGCTGGTATGGCATACCAGCATAGTGGCAAACCAGAGCTTTTTTAGAATCAGTTCATTTTTAATTTCTTCATTTACTTAAGATTTAAACCAATTTCTCAAGTATGATACTGCTTGTATCCAGGATACTTTACTGGTCTACTTATAGGACTCAAAAATGAACTTGAGGGAGAGTCTAAAAAACTCTCTGCTTTGCCACTATGCATGATACTTTACTGGTCTACTTATAGGACTCAAAAATGAACTTGAGGGAGAGTCTAAAAAACTCTCTGCTTTGCCACTATGCATACCAGCATTATCATACATAAGACACCAGTGGTATCCTATCCATGATACTTTACTGGTCTACTCATAGGACTCAAAAATGAACTTGAGGGAGAGTCTAAAAAACTCTCTGCTTTGTCACTATGCTTACTAGCCTACAAAATTACAAAGGAGGGCAGGAACTTTTCAGACACCCAAGTTTCAGTGAGGCCCATAATGCTAGGTTTTTGGGTGAACAAGAGTATTTTGACTTCTGCTAGATGTAAATACAAGCTATTGTAATAATGTAATTCAGAACAATGGACTGGTAGATAAAGGATATGTTGAAGGAACAATTGTTAAAGTTTTTTCCTGGGCTGCTTCTGTTGATGTGATGTGCAACAAGATCTCTCTGGTTGCAACTTGCAAATCTCTCTTAGGTGGAACTTTGCAATGTCCAACAGCTCTCTTCCCTCCATCCTGCTTGGAGGGAGCCATTAAACCACCACTCTCAGAGCACTTCAAATTTGGGAGTTCCATATCAGAAGAGTCACATCTCACAATCACATGAGCTTATGGATTTCAAGATCTTGTTCACCTGAAGCAGTAGCCAGATCTTTGTCACTTGTCAGAGCACACTCCTGAGTCCTGACTCCTGTCTCCTGAGGGCTGAGGCACAGGGAGAAGCTGGGGGCACTAGTGTCAGCCTGTCAGGTTACCGGTTGGCTTCCGGTTCGAGCTTCGGTCGACTACGGACGTGTGTATGTGATAGAGTGAGTACATTTTTGAATCGGTGAATAAATAGAAAAGAGTCTTAATTTTGAGACGGGCACCTATTTGGAGTACCTTGTTTGTACAAAAAACCAGCAGAATGCCCAAGCCCAAAGCTAAACGTAAGAAAAAAGAACAAGGAGATGGAGCATCAATATCATCCGACTGCTCAGAAACCTATTCTGCTTCCGGTGTCAGCATTACTAATCCCTCTGCAATACCCACCTGGTCACAAATGCCACCTCTCAGCCTTGATGACATTGTACCACCTACTCCTAGTACTAATACAAGCAATGAGGTAAGAGACCACTTGGTTAATGATGACATTGAAGTCCTTGATATTGGTGATACATTTGAGGGCTTTCATCCCACAATGGAAGGCCATATTGATGTTGATATACCTACCTCTGTGGCTGCCTCACCAAAAACCAATGCTCAGTTGGGATCTCACTCA